TCAAAGACCGCCAACATTCTTTCGAATGAATACGAAACCCAAAAAAATCCTGAACATCAATAATATTATTAATTATGTTATCACTTCATATTTAATAGAAGAATTTAATTATGTTGATACTAAGAGAGTTTGTAGAAATCTATCACAGTATCTAATTAAAAAAATAACAATCAACAATTTTTAGAGTTCTGTAGTCCTGACAAGGAACCCTTATAGTTTCATCATGTCCGTCTGTCTTGTGTCTGTTTGCTTGAAGACTATTAACACAAAAGAGCTGTAATTTGTTGGAGATATGTATATCGATGAAACCGACAAAATGGTCATCATCTACCCCAACGTGTGGGATATCGTTGAGTAGGTCCTTTAAAATTACTTTGGGGTTTCTAAGACTAGTTTTCAATTTATGCATCCATTTGCTAAATTTTGAACTTTAAAGTACAAATTTTTGTTCGAGTTTGCCCCCCCTCCCCCCTCAAAAAGCTAAACTATTGGCTTGAAAAACCTTGGAAAATTCATGATAATAGTGCTTTCATGAACTTTTAATAAAAACTACTACGGTTAAGATATTTTTTTTAGTTTAAGACTAATAGTAGTTCAACTTTTCTTAAAGAAAATTTATTAACTGTTGAAAATTCCTTAGAGGGAAACATTAATAGTGACATAGATGAAATTATTGTAGCGTAAAACCTTGCATTGCAACAAAATAAAAAAAAAAGCTATTTAAAAACCACTATAAAATATCATTAGTTCCACAACGCTACCGCGATTACCAACGGCAACGGCTTCTGAGTCGCGCTAACGTTACGTTTTTATAAAAAGTATAAATGCACTTGAAAAGATAGGTGGTTATACCGCATCATCCCCTTCTCAGGGGATGATCGCCTCGGGTGCAGCTTGCAAGGTCCTTTTGGCCATAAGCATAAACTACGGGTGTGTTTTAGTCAGTAAGAGTCTGTCTGACATAACCTTGCAGCTAGCTGTAGGGTCTCCATGAGAAGAGGATTTCACACCCGCTTCCCGGCCTGAGAGGAAACAAAAAAAATCGACGGTTATCACTCATATTTAAAATTAATAATATCGAATTAAGTTAGAGACGCAGTTTGACTTTGATTTAGCTATTTTAGTTGAATATTAATTGGTTTTTCTCCTGCTCAAATATATTGCCGTAACTACAGGGAACTACGGAACCCTATACTACGCGTGGCATGAAACGCACTTGACCGGTTTTTTCTATGTATAATGGCCTGTGAGGCCCCGTTATTATATATTAAATATTAGTTTTCTATACATACTTTAATCCCCCATTTTACTCCTTTAAAGGGTGAGTTTCGGAAAATCCTTTATCAGCGCCCGCCTACAACATTTAACTATATGTGTGCCTAATTTCAGCGCAATCCGTTCAGTGGTTTGAGCTGCCCATTGATAAAACAGTCGGTCAGTAACGGTTGTCTTTTATATTTCTATACATAAGAAAAAGATTAGACAACATATTTTGCGGTACTAATTTGAGATATCTTCAATCACTTAATCAGTTATGCTCAGACTTTAAGCCGTGTTTTTTCATCACTCTTTTTCATTCAAATAAGTAGGTAGTATAGTAAGTTTATACTCACCCAACCTATCGTTAGTACACAACAATGAGCTCACAAGTCGTCGATGAAAAAAGTACCTAACACTTGCACGGATGTGCTTAGTTTGCTAAATTGGTTACTGTTTTTGTTAATCCAAGTAGGTATGTCTGCGGTTGAAATTAATTGCAGTGTTCAAATGAAACGCTCCGGTAGGCGGTTTAACTGGATAATAAGAAACTGAAAAATATGTTTCATGTCTAATATTTTTCATTTTAACGAATTCTAGAGTAGGTTTTGCGAACAATTCTGGTAACATAAAAATGCGAAAGTATAGATACCTAGACTATTTGTTTGAAGATTAAAATATATTTTCATCCCACCACCTCGGAAAGTGTAATTTTGCGCTTCGAAATCTGGCTGGAAAATTCTATTTTATTCGCTTGAGCGGCAAAGTAGATTTGAATTTAGAACATCACATATAATGAGTACTCAATATAATTGTAAATTCAAAACGTCATTAAACCTATTTAATGTAACCTCTATGGTGCCAAATTTATGATTAGAACTTTTTAAATTGTGAAAAAATTTAAATTTGGAACCTTCTTGGTTTCTTTGTTTTATTTGCGTGCTTCGCGCCATTCTAGTTTTTCACGTTTTATTGCTTAAATATTTTGTCATTATAAATTGTTTTCTTTTTCATTTTGTCATTTCCTCGCTGAGGTGGGATGAAAAGTTACGTATTGCACTCGAGTGGAAAGATTTTTCACCTTGTGCTCGTTTGTTTCCCTCGCTGACGCTCAGGATTCTAATTTAGAATCACTCGCTGCGCTCGTGATTCAACTTTAGAATCCTTCGCTTGCTCGGTCATCCAAATCGAGCACGCGGTTAAAAAGGAACTTTCCACTCTTGTATAATAAATAACTATTAATTAATGCTTGTAGACGTTCCCAAGAATATGATGTCTGCAGATAAGAAAATACATTACACTCTTTTTTGAGCAGTCGTGTATAAAAAGAATGAGACACTAAAATATTCTATAAAAGAATGTGGGCCTCAATTAAACATAATATTCAAGAGTATTCATTAGAAAAGACATAAACGCTCAGAGAAAAATTGTATGTATAGTATCTAGTTCCTAGAATAGTACCAATTAACTTGCCTGGTATAAGTAGTACCCTAACAACTTTACAACTTCTGGAGAAGCGTCTTCGGTACTTGATGTTAATTAGTATATAAAAAAATGATTTTAGCTGACGCACAAGTTACTAAGTTCGCGATATGAAGTTCGATCGGTACTTTTTGCAGCTTTGTATTATCCAGTCGCTTTATCCACACTCCACTCCGCTCGGAACTAAAAGACTCATCAATCAAACGACAATTGACAATATGACAATACGTCGTCTATCTACTTAAAACTTCCCATTGGCATTGGAGTCTAGATACGAGGACACAGAAACTCGCCTCACTAAACAGTCGTCTTCCAAGGCACTTTCCAATCTAGCATTATTTTAAATTGTAACTTTTATTACATCACCAATATTTTTTTCTTTTTCTTTAGTAATGCGATATGTATTATCATTTTATTGTTATTAAAAATTCGAACTTTATCAACTGGTATGACAAGTTCATAGAGTATTTTTTTTATTATTTTCACATTAATGCTCTTATTATAATCAATAACGTTCGTGTAAATTACAATCAATGACTAATATGCCGACGTCCATACAAACAGAAGTTATCGAATTGCCATGTACTTTATAGTTGGATATCTTGTCTACTATTGATTTCCCTTCTCATACCAGTTTCCAATTATTAAGTTAAGATTAAAAACTCGATTTTAATACCCTTTTTTTAACAATTGGGAACATGAAAAGTTATACACTACTTATTACTAAAATGTATAAAGAATGACTTCCGAAAAAATCCAGTTAAATGCCAAAATGATCCGAATAAAATTTGAGGCGATGTAAAATACTTTCAAAGTTTCACTTGCATCATGGTTTCATAAATCCAGACCCATGTTTTTGTTATAGTTGTTTGTTTAAAAATATTAAACGAAGATCGGCATTACTGCTTTTTAAAACAGAGCCATACAAATGTCAAAAACTTTATCTAGTAATTTAGGCATCATCGTAGTCAATAGCGAAAATACGTTTATGATCACAGTTCCCGCGAACTTTATTGATACAAATCAAATCAATCACATGAACATCGATATCGACACTATTCTTTGGTTCTTACGGTAAAAAAAACGAAGAAGAAGAAGAAGAAGAAAAAAACAAAGAAGAGCGCAAAATATTTAAAAATTTAAGAAAAAATTACTTTAGAACTACATATAGCCGATTTATTTTATTTTTAGGTGGGACAAAGTCTATCGGGTTTGCTTTTTTTATTACACTATATGGGAAAGATTGGGTCCGTGTCCGTGATTTCAATTACGCCATGCATTAAACTGATCCCATATCTTAACCTAACACGTACTTATTAACATCTGTACTCCACCTACACTTAACATGTCGAGGGGCCATTGGTTCTGCTTCTTGAGCAAGTTAATGTAACCTTTGGAATTAAGTAATTTTATTCTTAAATTTTTAAGTGATTTTGCAAACGGGCTGAGCTAGAAATATTGATGTGATGAATAAGTATTTAAAATGAAACAATTTTTGTGGGTTGAGTAAGGAACATAAATATCTTGAGTAAGGAAAAAATCATGAGTAGGATAAGACATCATAGGATGAATACGGAAGTCGGAACAACCCTATGATTCGGAGCTCGCTGCCTATGGACTGTCTAAACTACTACTCTGTTGCCAACAGAGTAATCTCGTAGACAACAAATGGTTTATTCTCGATGCAGACCGCGTTCACAGAAGTTCATTTAAATTGCTAGTTATAATAAATCGCGTTTATATTCTGCTAATTTAAATGGATTCCTTGACCAGAAAAATTAAAACATGAATATCTTTTTATAGATCTATCTATGCATACTTAACCAAAGGATGCTAATGGACAGAACTACTAAGCTTTCATTGTCCTTTCTGCTCGTGAGTCATGACTCGCAATAGTCTTGATTGAAATAATATATATATAAATTTTCTCATTAGTAACATAAAAAAATAAATTTAAAAAACCTTGAATGACCCGTTTAACAAAGTTTTATCACTTACCACTTGCATATACTGAATAGATAAAAAACTAAATAAAAACTTGTAAAAAAGCCTTTCATATAAATTAGTTTCAAACAGTACGTAGTAGTAATTTCATATTTATAGTTTTCGTAAGTTGTAAATCTTTGGTTCTTTTCATGTTTTCGCATGTGAATGACACAATTTTTCTCTCTTTTCAGATGTCTTCTCCACACACCAAAGAAACTATGAACAGCCAGCCTGTCATAATCGTGTTTAAGTGACAGTCGGTCAAATAGTGACAAATGGAGGGGACCAGAGTGACGCACCAGGGGGTGCGGGCGCACTCGGTCGAGGGCTCCGCTGGACGGATCACCCAGGCCGGGCTGGCGGCGAGAAGCACTGCGGGTACGGCCGCTAAGGGCATGGCTATTAAGGGCCACGAAGACCTGTGGGTGGAGATCCAGGCCAACACCTTCAGGAACTGGGTCAACGAAACTTTGAAGCCCATGAATATCAAGGTATAGATAGAGAGATAACACTTTATTGTGCAGATCACATTAAATATTATACACTAGGAAAAAACTTAAAATAGTGAACAATTGGCGGTCTTATCGCTATATAGCAATTTCTGCCAGACAACCATAGGATGGAGAGACGAATTTTTTTTTATCCGAACTTAACCAACTGTTTGGCCGTAAGAGCTATAGTGTTGCGAATTAATAAATTATTTGAATTATCGCCCGATTTATTTATGTACTTATTATATTTGTACTAACAAAGAATCAGTACAGAAGTCGTAAACACACAAATGATGTACTTCGGTACAGTCAAATCCACGTCGATACGATTTTCAAATCATAATGAAAATGTAACATTACCGGCTTCCTTTAAGTTTTGAATCTAAAAGACCATAAAATTGGAATTATGAGCTGTAAAACCAGTTTTATAGTGCCTTTTTAGATGTGCTTTTTAAAAAAAAGAACTTCTGTCTTATAATAATTATATAACATGCTCCTTATGAAACTCCGCAATTTAGAATAATGTAAAATTCTTTCGGCAGATTAAGTTAAATGTCAACGGCATAAGTGTACCAGTTAAGATTCTTTGATGCAATTTGTGGTGTTTCATACTCTTTTTAATTTAAAGTATTAAAGAGGAATGATACTTGCGCAATAATTTTAATTATTATTAAAACATACATACATTTACTTCATGCCGTATTGCAAACTGTTATAGGAGTAACAGAATAAGCACACACGTTAAAAATTTGACGACCTTGTTGTGGAGTTGTTTATGTTTATAACATCGATTTTAAAGTGTTGCCTACTCAATGGTCCCGGATTCAAATCCCGGTAGGGCAAAAGTTCGTATAAGAATTATGTATTTGTTATTTAACAATGATGTATTTGGAAATAAGAAGATAGGAATGAGCACATTGCCTTATTCAACAAATGAAATCTTTTTGAATGTTTTTAATATATTTTTTATTTATTTTAGGTGGTAGATCTAGTGGAAGACTTTCGGGATGGCACAGTTTTGTGCTCACTAGTGGAAGCGCTCCAGGGTCGCAGGCTTAAAGGGTGGAGCCCTAACCCCAGTAATCAGCACCACAAGTTAGAAAATGTCACCACCGCGTTGCAGGCCATTGAAGATGATGGAGTTAAGCTGGTCAATATTGGTAAGTAATTCAAGACGGTTGCTTTTACTTTAAATACTTAGTATTGATCAGAACTACTTTTGCCAGCTTTTCTCCACAAGTAAAGGTAGTCCTGAACTAGTGGCAGGAAGAAAAACAAGACTATAACATCGGCCTATTTCACGTGAACCTATACTCAATCCATTGCTTTTTATTGTCGCCATAGTAATTAGCTGTTATAAAAAATCACAACCAGCGAAGTCATGTCTTACAAATAGTGCGAAACTTAATTTCATAATGTAATGGGTAAGGTTTTCTATTTATCACATTGAAATAGCTAAGCAGATTTGGCTGTTTATATATCATACTGATGATACTATTTATCAGTCCTCTTGGAATAGAAGTCAGAGGTCCTCGCCAGAAAAAGATTAATTTGTTTTAAATAATATTTTCTAACTAAATCTTTACTTTTCAGGCAATGTTGACATCGTCAATGGTAATTTAAAATTGATCCTGGGACTGATTTGGTCGCTCATCGTCCGCTACCAGATCGGCCGAAGCAAGTTCCCTCCGAGGTAACTATATTTATTTTCTTCTTTCATCATAGGTTCGTCCACCAGTTATGGCTGGCTGCTGCTTATATTTAAATTTCATATTGGGACTGATATTTTTTTGACCTTTCTTCAAATACCTAAGATTGAATTTAGGACAGACAGCAACAGAAAAACTTCTGTTACTACTACAAATGCTATTAAACTATATTAACATTTTGCAAAGAAGCAGGCTATTAGACAACACTTTGTTTAAATACAAGTCGAGCAGATACGAAAGTAATGTCCTAAAGTTTGATAGAACAATACCATTAAAAGAATATGTTTATTTTATTGTGGGATGCCTATAGTTTTTATTACTATTTGTCATTGTAACAGCAATAGAAATATGGATTCTGTGGAAATTCCCCCTGTCTAACTAAAAAGTTCTATAAAATGTTGTCCATAAAGACGGGCAGTGGGACCTTAAAGTTCCGTTGTCACATTTGGGTACCAAACCCCAAAAGTATAAATATCTTTCGACAATTCATTTGCATTTTTCAAAAATAAACTAATTCTTTTATAATGCTGTTTTGCGAACGTTAAAGTTTTATGAAAAGTTAAATACCGTTACTAAAAATGAGTAATGCGCACATGGTATGTGGAAGAAGCAAGCAGCTTAACGACGCGGCGCAAGCGCAATTAGCGTGGAACGAGTGCATGCGCATACCGTCTCGTTTGTGGTGGTTTTGCTCACACTTTAAGTGTGCTGTGTAACTGTGGGCAAAAAAAACTAATTTTATATCTTTTGAATTAAGAGAGGTAGCGCATAGCGCTTTATCCGCTCGAATTGGTAGATTTTGCAGTCAGTCAAGGCTATGTCTAATGGATAATTTGTCATCCATCATCAACCGCCTGGGGAAGTAACTCCACCTTACAAAAGACTACATTAAAATAACACTACCTTTTGGTGGTGTTGTTTTTCTGTCGGTGAGTAAGATTCCAGGGCTCCACGGGGTAGGGAATAGGGTCAGGGTAGGCATTTGGAGGAAGTAGAACGGGTCCGCACGCACGGGCGCAGAGGGAGGCTCTGCGCCGATGGGGCGAGGCACTCGCCAACCCAGCCACTGGCCACCAGACGATCGAGGCGATCCGTCCGGTGTTGGAGGAGTGGGTAGGGCGCCAGCGGGGTAGCCTCACCTACCGCCTAGTGCAGGTACTGACCGGACATGGGTGCTTCGGTCACTACCTCTCGTTGCCAAGCATGGTTAGAGCCATGCTTGGTAGCGAGAGGGCCTGGAAGGCTGCCACCTCCTTCTGCGAATCGGTGATAACGCAGTAGTCCGCGGAGAGGGAGCGGGAGGAGGACGCTCTAGCCGCTCCCCTCCGACGTAGATGGGTGGACCGAAGAAGGCAGGCAGCCGTGACTGCCGGTCTTCGACGGCTCTATGGTGGTCTGGGCGCGGCTTGGCCACCGCGTGCCCTAGGTGCCACTCGACATAGGTCACTCCGTCTGGGGATTGCCTAGTACCCTAGCGTAATCCCCCAGAGGCGTGTCGCCCAGTCCACCCCTTGGGCCGGGCCGGCCCGGGGGCTTCCCAGTGAAATGGTGCACACAGAAGTGTGCCGATCCTGCGACACTCCCACATGGGCGTAGGAGGGTACCGGTCCCACACACGTCGTGCGTCACAGTACCGTCCGTAAAGGGATTTCTCATCGTTAAAAAAAAGAGTCAGGCTAGGTAACGGCACGAGTGATATAGTTTGTATCGCAAGCGTCTATAGGCTATGGTGGCCGCTTACCATCAGGCGGGTCATATACTTTTTTACCACCCTTTTAGCATAAAAAAATCACATTTCAAATGGTAATAGGAAATTGATTACATAGCGTTAGGCTAGGTGTTAAGTGCTAAGTTCAAATTCAGCTGCTAAATAAAAAAAAACAAAGAGCCAGACAATTAACCAACGTATAAAACCAATATCAGAATTAAGAAAACGTAGTGTTCTGTTAACTGTGAGATGAGTCCAGCTGCCAAGATAATGAGGTGGTTGATAAGAGGTCACTCCAGACACGCAAAGCCTGGCTTCTACACAATAATTTCTACTACCTGCAGTGCTATTCTGTAAGAACAAACTTATTTTTCACCAGGGAATTCGTAGTGTCATTTGAAATTTATATGAAATTCGTGTCCTAATTTCAAATCACACCGCGGATTCGGAGGTAAGAAGTTTGTACCTACAGAATAGCACTACTGGTGGAACTCCATAAATTTTTCCGTTAAACATTATCTTTACTTGCAGAAAGGTGATGTTGTCATGGCTGCAGTCGGCTTTGCCAGAATGCAAGGTGTCCAACTTGACCAGCGATTGGAACAGTGGAGTTTTGCTGTCCGCTCTTCTGGACCATTGCAAACCTGGCATATTCCCACATTGGCGCGAGCTGAGTATGTAATTTTATATTTTTTTACACCAGATGATTGGTAGAACATTAAAATGAGCCCTGTTCAAGGGTTTCGCTATTATGTGGTAGCAGCTTACGGTACTTCAGTCTGTAATTTCTACTAACCGGCTATACTTTAGAATTTATTTATACCAAAACTATTACTTCGTTTTAAATTAAGTATAATATAAGTTTTATATTTTTTTAATACGTGGATCTTAAATAAAGCTCTTGAGTATAAAACAATTATATTTATATTGCTTTAGATCCCAAATTATAAGACTTATAATTTGGGATTTATAGCAATAATTAACTAACCAAATAAATATCTTATATTAGCATTAATATACCAGCGGTCTCCGAGACCGCACGTAGGTGGATTAAAGAACAAAAATAGGTGGTTCAGGGTTAACCCAAACACTTTAGCGTATAGGTCCAATAAACGATCATAAACATTTCAGCTAGCTACGATGGTCGTGAAACATGTTTTTACGGATGATTGATATTATTTGAATAAATACTTATATAAATTGCTCAAAGTCAAACCCAAGTGATAACTTTCTCAACGCAGAATCATGTAGTTGATAATACAGGGTGGGGCAAAAGTACCGCTACGATTTTAATTGAGCGCCAATTTGGTTATGAGACGTTTAAATCAGTTTCGCTTTAAAAATTGTGTAGTGTAGTTTTTATAATGGATAAATATACGCCACAAGAACGAGCAAAAATAGTGATAATATTTATTGAAAATAATCGTTCCATTATTGTCACTCAGCGGAAATGGCGTCAAAAATATCCTGATCGTTCAGCCAGATCTCCGGATTTAACAGCACCAGAGTTTTTCTTATGGGGTTTTTTAAAATCAAAAGTTTATGTGAATGGGCCCCAAACGATTCAACATCTTAAAGACAATATTCGTCATGATATTGAAGAAATTCAGCCTGAAATGTTACAGGATGTCATGAAAAATGCCTTAAAAAGAGCTGAAAGTTGCATAGCGAATCGCGGTCACGATTTAGACGATATAATTTTCCAATTATAACGGAAAAAAAATGTAAAGACCTAATAAACCTTTTATGAAAACCAAACCTACTTATCTCTTTCATCAAAGTTATAGGCAATCAAAATGGTAGCGGGACTTTTGCCCCACCCTTTATAAATAAAACATCGTAACCATATTATTTTTCTCATAATGTTAGTATCACACAATCGTATCAAATAGTAGCTATTTGTTATGCAGTATATTAAAAAGCCTTGACAGTGGCCACAAAGTTATTTGTATTTCACAATAATTCAGGATTTATGTTCCATTGTTGTTGGTTGTGGCCGTAATTAAATGTTGTATTTATTATTTAAAATATCCGTTTTTATTCGGTTTGATTTGGTTAGATATTTTCGTTTAGCTTATATAATACCTACTTACCTACAAATTTTGAACATCGGCATTTAGAAAGTTATATAATATGAATTTGGGTTACTTATTAATATAGGAGTCCATGTGAGCTTTTGAACAATAAAAACTCAAACTATTTTATAGGTTACACTTTTATTTGACCAAACCTGATAAAGATGCAATGCGTAAATACGAGAAACACCCAAAATACATTAAAGTTTAACTTCGAAAGTCAGAACTAAAAGTATTTATATCTGTTAACCTGATGTAATAAACAACCTTACTAATTGCTTAATTTATTATTATGTTTGATACCTAATAATAAATTAAGCAATAAGTATTAAAAACGTAGATTGCGAATCTTCCTATTCACTTAACACACGCACTACAGACACAGTTTATTACATTAATTATAGCATCGCCTGTGCCCCAGCAGCGGGGACATTAAGAGGCTCATTATAATGATTTTTATTTCATTAATCAAATCTTTGTTACAGATCGCCATGAAGCCGTCGAAAACTGTCGGCGAGCCATGAAACTTGCTCACCGTGAGTTCGATGTGCCCATGGTGTTGGAGCCGGAGTACCTCGCATCACCCTGGCTGGATGAACTGTCTGGCATGACTTACCTGTCGTACTTCATGAAACCTGGTTCGCCTGGGTACAGAGCTACGTTGGACTGGGTCAACTCGCGTCTGGAACGAGGAATTACGAATTTCACGGTCTGTCAATATCTTCGAAAATATTCATACATATAATTCATCAGTCATAAAACTTACTTTGAAGTAATAAAAATGTTGACTGATAAGTTACTTACTAAATTTAACTAAATCCATTCACAAAGTTTTGCAACAGTTTTTGTTTATTATTTAGAAAAACACAAGAAACATAATTTTGAATCTTTTAAAATTCCTAATGAGTTCATTTTATTCCTCATAAGTCTATTGATGTCCCTCCTACTAGGGCATATGCCTTCATATGAATGGAATAGGAAAATTGTCATGACCCACCCCGTGGGCTTTGTGTATACTAACGACTGTAGATGCGACCAGGGCCAATAACGTTTTTTCCGAAATTTTGAATAATTGCATCATTCAAAATTTTTGAGAAACGGTACGGAACGGCTTAACTTTAACGCGGACTTTTTTTCTGGTCCACTATTGAGTGTTTATCTATAATGTTTAAAAGTTATAGATACGTCACTTTGGCAATACGAAAGTCATGTAATTGCCCGACTTGGATTCAGTCGGGCACGCTCTCTCGCCGCGGCTACACTTCGCTACAACGTGTAAATGTTCTACTTTTTTCCAGACTTTTTTTCAGTTTTAAAGAAATTAATGTAAAAATATTTAGTGATTACTTATTTTTTACTGTTGCTTGCACCGTTGACACTTGAGGGTTAAAGAGCGTGATGTAATTTCTTTATGAATGAGAGTGAAAGAGACTACTTTAGTGCGCTCTATTGGCGGCTGTTGCCAAGGGAAGTTGGGGCGGGGACTGCTTGTGACATTTTTAAATGCAATAATGTTGGTGTATGACCTGAGGAGCTCGATGGCTCAAGTGGTTAGGGCGTTCGGCTGAGATCGTTGAAGTTAAGCAAGTTTCGCAGTTTTATTTACTATCTCGAGCTCCTCCGTGCTTCGTAAGGTACGTTAAGCCGTTGGTCCCTGCAGTAACTGCAGTCGTTAGCACCCACCAATCCGCACTGGGCCCGCGTGGTGGTCATGGCCCAATCTCCCTATTCCATCCATAGAGAAGGCCTGTGCCCCAGCAGTGGGTACATTAACAGGCTGATGATAATGATGAGCTGTTTATATATTATACGTCATTGGTTTATCTTCTTTCTATTGTTTCCTTACAGACGGATTGGAACGACGGCCGCGTTGCGAACGAACTTGTAAGGTCTATGGGTGGTCCTGCTCCGCCCACCAGTAGACTGCGACGTGACCCTGCGCGCTGGGAAGAAAACAACCAACAAGCTATTGATGCTGCCAAGAAAATCGGTAATTAAGCAAGAAAGGATAATGGTTTTCTTAGATTCATATAGAAAATGTTCTAGCGTATAGGCATGCAGTTATACATGATACAGCAGTTTTTCAACACTTATGAGCCATTTACACGGCCGATTTTAATCATTCTCAATATTGTCAATGTTGAAAACTACTCAATATAGTTTTGATTTAAGTCACCTACGGCCTACTCGAATCGGTTTCGGCAAGGCTAGGCGCTAAGCCGCATGACCACAGCATACTTTGTTTACATTATTTATGTCTCATTGCCACATCAAAAATCAATTTTACTTTGACATCACAAAAATCGACAAATCGTCTTTACGTGCTTATGCTACGAGAACTGGAGTCAATAAATAAAACCGAAAGAAGAGTACTTAGCATTAGTATGAACTTATCTGACAGTAAAACCTTAATATTTGTTACCTGTCTAGGAGTTCAACCAGTGCTATCAGCCAAAGATATGAGTCAGAACGATGTGGAGCACTTGGGAGTGATGGCTTGGGCGTCGCAATTCCGCAACGTTCCTCCGAGGCCTCCGGTGCACGACATGTTACGAGTGGCATTGGACTCAACATCTGGAAGGGTCGGAGAAGAGGTATCTATTCCCTAAAACATCCTGAATCTGATCCTGTAGAAATCGGGTTTACAAAATTCTTTTCAATTAGTCATAAGTTGATATGACAGACGAATTTTTCAAAACTGCTCTGCACACCCACACACTTAACACAAATCACATCAATGTCTTATAAACTTCTATTATTCACAGACTTACATCAAAGTTGAGTCTCTGTCTAACAAGCTCTCCATCTCAGATGTGAAGGTTTCCGTAGTGAACCCTCTAGAACAGGAGTCTAGATTGAAATTAGATGCTCGAGGTGCCGGAGAATTCATTCCTGAACATGCTGGTATGCACGAAATAGTCCTCACAGTGGATGATATCAGGTAAGATGCGCTTCTATCTAGTTCGCCTTTAGTAAAATAAAGCCAGATTATAATTCTACATCAAGATAACTAAATTGGAAAAGCTTAGATTAGGAATTATTCTGTAATTGTATACCGACAAATCGTCTTGAAATCTCTTTGCAGAGTTGATGGGCGATACTTCTTCAGGGTGTTGCCTAGGTTGGTGATGGTACCGCCTCCGGGTATGGCTCCCTGTGCCGCCGGTAGTATTGTTGAAGTGCTAGTCAGTGCTACAGGTGAGTTTTGGTAATTTTATCGATCGGTGTAATAGGGATGATGACAGGGTAAAGTAAATGGACTTCGAATTAGTCTGTCAATTAGATTATCAAAAATAATGAACACTTATTTTTTTCTTTTATCAATCAACCAAAAAATTACAAAGATAAAGCATGTCAAACATTGGGAGTGGAGGCTCATGACGTCATTTCTAAGTAAAAATTGTACCAAGATATGTCGCCATACAACACTTCAAATCAATATAAACTGTGCAAAGTTTTGATTATATTAATAAATTAAAAATCCTTGTCCTATACTTTTTAACAATCTACCTGTTAGAAGAAGAAAAAAATGTAAGTCATCATCCCTATTATAGTGAAGTATCAGAGATAAGCACTCAATGACCAAGAGACGAACCCATTCGTGACATTTTCGAAATAATAACACTAGAAGTCAAAACTTAAATTACCTCTCAATAATTTGCCAATTTATTCCTGGTTGCATTTGCTCTGAAGATTTTGATGGCTTAGGTGATTAGCGCATCCGGTCTGCGATCATGGAAGTTGATCAATTTTCTCAATGGTTGGGTGGCCAAAAACTTACTGGTTGGGTACTTTGGCAGGTACGTCAAGCCATTAAAAATACATTCGTTCTGGCTGCGTCAGTAGTCATGAGGATCCACTTATCCGCACCGAGCCCACGTGGTGGGCATATTCTCCCTATGCCATCCATAGGGAAGGCCTGTCCTTCAGCAGTGCGAACTTTAATAAGCTGATGATGATTCGTATTCGCATTGTGCCTGCGTGCTGGATTGAGGCTGCATTTTTAATGTGAGGGAAAATCTTAGCCCTAGCTTGAGTAAGAAATTAATGGTTTAACGTAATCTAGGAGCTCCAAGAAGAGAGGATATTGACGTGACGGCTCACTCTCCGAGCGGGCGCGCGGTGCCTCTACAGGCGCGGCATCCCCCACCTTCTGCTCCTGGCACCACCGCCTCCAGCGCCACTTTCGAGCCAGATGAAGCTGGAACCTGGACTATCGCCATCACTTACAAGGGTGAACACATTCAGGTACGCATAGTGGATTTGGGCCGTATTGACGACCTCCATGTCCGAGTGGCCTACGCCAGGTTTCAAGGTGTCGCCTACTCAGAGGTCCCGGGTTCGAATCCTGGTGAGAGTAGATATGTTTGTTTATGGATGTTTTATATCTATCTTTATATATATATAATCAATTGCTGTTCGTTTGTCTCACTAAAACTCGAGAACGCCCAGGCCGATTTAGCTGATTTTGGTTTTGAATTGTTTGTTGTAGTCCGGGGAAGTGAGAAAATATGGAAAAATTGCGAGGAATTTACCATAATTTTAAACTGTACTACCTCCTTTTGTGTCAAATATTTGACGTTCTTCCCTTCGGTACGGTACATTCAGGTAGATTCATAAGCTTTAATGAAAGGTAACAAAACAATTACAAGTGACCAAAAATTTATTTAACACGAGAATATGTTTTCTTTAAATATGTTTTAAATAAATAATCTGAGCAGTTAAACGTTTATGACTAATAAAGAATAAAATAATTCTATAACTTAGGTATTTTCCACATTATCAAATGTTAATCTCTACAGTTATATCACGGGTATCTTCACAACTCGATTTCCATTTAGTGCATGTTTGCGTGTATCTTTTATTAATCTATTGGTGTCGATTTTGGCAGGGTTTTCTAAACCTAAACATAAATTTGACAACAGTGTAAAAAAATCCCAACCCCGAGCACACACTGCAAGACCATCAGATACTATTAGTTCTTTTTGTTTGCATAATTTAACATAAGAAGGAGATAGAAAGCCTCTCTTGAGTTTGTTTCGCCGGTTCTTCTCAGGAAGGTCTCCCAATTTTAGAACCGGTGGTAGTTTACGGTAGTTAGGGTCAAATAAATAAATAAACTCAAAATTACAAACAAGAATTTTAAATAAAATACTTTATTAAGTAAATTAAATAATAAATTCATAATTAGACAATAAAATTTTAAAAATCTTCCAATGAAATAACCGAACGCTCAATATAAGTCTTTCGAAGGTAGCTCGACAATTTTAAATAAAAAATCATTATTCTGACGATGCAGACCTGAAAAGGCTGCGAAACGTCAATAAATAAATAAAGTTTCGTGCATTAACCCGTAAAAACTAGTTTTATTTAACAGTGTATCCCTGTCGCAGAATGAAAACGAGAGACTGATGTTAAATTTAGTTTTAAATTTAGAGAATCATGCCAGAATCGACACCGTTGTGTTAATAACCTGATATCGTATATTAATATTTCAAAACCTTATTTTTATTTTATTTTAAATCATAAATGCAAAAGTTATCTATCAATCATTAATACTTGATCCATTTCTTGGTTCAGGGAGGTCCATTCACGTGCGAAGTTTTCGATCCATCCGGCGTTAGACTCAGTCCCGGAGCGTTGGATGGTGCTGAACCCCTGAAGCCGCACTCTTTCGAGCTGGACACCTCTGGCTGCGGAGTCAAGGGTGATCTGCAGCTGGACATCGTTCATGACAAGCGAAGCGTCATGTGCGCTTTGGAGAAACTCTCCGCAACTAAATATCGCGCTACTTTCATGCCTAAGGCACCTGGCAAACATAGGGTAAGCATTTCTTAGCGATCATTTGTAGGAAAGAGGGCTTCATATATTTTTTGCTAAATTTGTTAAGACCAAGAGATACGAGTACGTCATAAAATTAACACACACACTGCATTATACTTTTCACGTGTTCCTTCACTTAAATATCAGCATTTTATTCACGTTTTTATACTTTTACTCCAGAAGTTAAATATTACATAAATTACAAAACTATATTTTCTATTGAATATTTGATACGTAAGAGCAGATCAGAGGAGCTCGATGGCGCGGGTGGTTAGCGCTTTTGGCTGCGATCGTTGAAGTTAAGCAACTTTCGCAGTTGTCGGTCATTGGATGGGTGACCGAAAATTTTCTATCTCGAGTTCCTCCGTGCTTCGTAAGGCACGTTAAGCCGTTAGTCCCGGCTGCATCTGTCGTTAGCACCCGCCAATCATGTCATGTCATGGCCTAATCTTCCTAATCCATCCATAGAGAAGGCCTGTGCGGCACAGGCCGCATAGGGGCACGGCCCCCTGTGCCCCTATGTACACAGGTTGTGCCCCAACAGTGGGGACATTAAAAGGCTGATGATGATGATGAAGAAGAGCAGAGCATCCTAACAGACTCCTTAGAGCTTCAAGTAAAAAATATTCCACATGGTTTTGTGTATCATCTTGTTATACAATTTCTTTTTGTTTTATCAGTCTGGAGAAGTATCCTTCAACGGCTTCACGGAAGCCAAATAAGACCATTCTGCAGTTTTTAATTTGATGTAAAAATCAACAGGGTGCATGCATGCTTGTAAAATTCAACAAAACAAATGAACGCTTCATTGTTTGCAGTTATATATCTACTTTAATGGCTACGACGTCCACGGCTCCCCACATATGTTCCGAGTGGGTGCACGTTCGAAAAAGTCCCGAGAGAGCTCTAGCCCATCATATGCTAGAATATCCAGTCCAGGTAATTCGAGCACACACCAATTCCACGCCGATAAAAAAAACAAACACTCCGATTTTTCACTACAAATGAAAATCCATTACAGATTGGGTACGAGAACAAATTTCGGTTACACGATATAATATCAAAGCTACTTTTTCTCCCCAGTGACGCGTTTGAGATCAGAGAGCCCGCTAAATAACTTCAATATTTACGAATCCAACGCGTCGAAGCACACCAACACGAGCACTGCGGAGCGTCGAGATTCCAGCGATTATTACAAAACCTTCAGTTCGGATGTGAAAGACAAGACTTATGACGTCACCGACTCCGCCTATTCCACGTCGAGAGTGCATAAAAAAGAGAGTACATACAGATACGGTTCGGAAAGTCCTAGGAATAGGACCGCCAGCCCTATAACGACGAAGCATTTTGGTAATGGCTCCCATTTGGACGTCGGGGGGTCTAGTCCGTACAGAGCTTCGAGTCCGTACCGAGCTTCGAGCCCATATCGAGCTACGAGCCCTGTCGCTCGAACAGCAAGCCCGCTAACAAGGAAAGACAGCCCGTTAAATAGAACGGCTAGCCCAATTAACAGGTAAATATTAAGCCCACAATAATTCATATTCACACGCTGCAAAATTTCTCTAAAAACCGTTAAAAAACAAAGCCAAATAATAAAATTATTATAAATTGAAGTTTGGAAAGTATTGGCCAATCCCCTTAAAATAAGATTTTTTAAACACCTTAATACACCCAAGTTTGGAATAGCACTTTCTTTCGAGGGATAAATAGTACTTTATACTATACCTGCGATGAAATAATAGACAAATAAATCCAACATATTAACAACTTAAATAAAATGGTCTTAATAAAAAGTAGGTTTATACTTATAAAGAAAATAATATTAAGCTAAGCTCTAATATACTAAGCTTATAAACTGGCTTATTGAAAAAAGTATTTTCCTATATGGTTATAATGAAATAGCCGTTTGTTTTCTTTTACTAATAATAGTTTTTGAACCCATTTTCTATCTGCGGGAAAGTTAGCAGCTGGCCCATTCTAAAATATGCTTTTCTTTCACTACGAATACAGTATGAGAAAAACAGGTAAGTACAGTGAGTTACCTTTATTCAGTTTACATCATGAAAAACATTGTTCTTCGTAGTTTATGCTAACGAAATGGAAATTCACGAGAGATATGGTTATCGTATATGTAATGGTTTATTTGAAATTTGACTCTCAAACGCATTTATTTGGTCTTTCTGTACATTTAGTTTTTGTTTGGCGTTCCTCTTTAATTAAAAATGTAATAGTGCTTATTATCAATAGGTATACTAAGTACTTAATGGAAATATATTCTAGAGCTCACTTGCGAATTTTATAAAATAATTAAGTAAAATTTGCTGACTTAAATTTTGTAAAGAAAATTGCTTTACACTTTAATAACGGTCTATGAAAAAGTTTCTCTTTATTTCAATATTTTCAAGGCTTATGTAAGTAGTGAGAATATTATAAAAGGATATTTTAGAGGTCTGAATTTAAGCTTAATGCCGAAAATAGGCTTTCATATAGTGCTGTGAATCAATTTTCAATCAGTACTCGCCCGCTGTGTATAAATCAAGAGAGCTTTTTCATCCGTAACAGCTGTCGGCTTTTTCGTTTTTGCTTGGAGTCTGCTTCATTTAGACACCACTTACTTAGTTAAAGCACTTATTTATTTCTATTAAAGCCGCACTTTATTTCTGAAAGGGATACTTTCATCGTTGATTGAATTAAGAAGGTTCGATTGAAGGCCTCTAAGAGCGTTTCTCCGGTAAAAATATAACTGTTCGCAAATCAAGTACATTAAATGCTAGTACAACTGATAGAGATGCATAATGAATATCGCTCTTATATCTGAGCTATAAAGACCATGTTAATAACGAACTGTATCCGTAAGCGTGGTCTCGAATGTACCTTACGAATCAAGACAATCCCCTCTTACCCACTTCCAATTTTCTATTTAATAAACGAATCGGAATACTTTCCCCTGGCAACACGGAAAAGATTTAGAAAGTAATTGAGTTGCCCCTACTTAGAAATTAACGTTGGTTATTTTCGATTGGAACCATGTGCGTGTGGATAGCGTAACGGCTAGGTAGGTATACTTAAGTGAACTCCTTATAGTGACATCTGTATTAATAGTACTGATTTAAAAAAAGAACAATACAATACAAAACGACGACATGCGTAGCCGATAAAGACGTCTCTGAGGGGACGCGGGCAATGTTGTTTCCATACAAACTCGACTGATTCCTCCTTGATTTTTATCATTAAAGTATTGATTTTCATATATAAAATATAATTTTACTCATTCTATGCTTCTATGTCTTCCTTTTTTGGATAACTTGTGTTTCAAATAAAACAGACGCCCTTGAAAAAGGCCAAAAATAAGCAAATCTTTATTACCACTAAAGACGTCTAGTGTTAAGATTTAATAAACATTTACAAAAAAATCAAAACTTCATCACTCATATAGAGGCATAGTATAACTACTTATTATTCTTTGTGTAAAAATAATTTCTTTTACTTATTTCTAATTTTCGAGGAGGAAATCGTCGAGAGACATACCTAGAATTTTGCAATTTTTATTCGCAATTTTCAGCGTTTACGACTGTTGTCCCTTTCGAACGGCATTTGCCAAAGCGTGACAGCAATAGTTTTTTCAAATACCTATTTCTCAAAGTTCTCTCAGCTCACGACCGCTCTTAAATCAAAAGTTGAAAACTAGTTTATTTACTGTACACACATTAGTAAGTTCTTTATTAGGTAGGTACTTATTGATTTCCATTTCCAAGGATCAGGACGTCTTTTTTTGTTATAAGTAGTTATTTTTTATCTTTCTAATTTACTTTTTTATTACTTTAAGTACATAAACTCAAGCAGGTATAGTTTAAAAATTGCAATGTACTCACGAGCAGAACACGAAAGAGAGGAATTTCCTGACACGAGTAAAACCACGCTTAAAGGCGGCGTTAACCCCATAAGTCAAAAATGAGATAATAAAAAAAAGACCTTTTTTTATTTTATTCTTACAGAGTAAGCAGCCCAATTGACCGTCATAGTCCCGTGACGACCACCAAGAAAGTGGTAGAAAAGCGGTCCAATTACAAGATGTACAGCTCTTACAGCGGATCTCAAGATAACCTGGACCAGAGCAGTCCCTATGGATCCCTAGAGAACGACCGTGCTAAAAGACTTGGCAGTCCAAGTAAGTATTCAAATATGTATCATAGAATAGACAACGTATCAGCCGCCGTGATATCGAATTAATGCAATGAGCCGGCGGAATACTCTCTGCTTATGTTACTGAGTTATCGTCATAAACATAAAGGTTGGAAACAGAGCTCGACCGACGGTCGGCGCTGACGTCGGTCGGGCGTATAACTATATATGAGTAACAATGTATGAACGCGCATGCTGCTGCGCTAATGAATACACGCGTACAGCTACATCGCGCTGACGGAAACGGTCGGTCGGGCTCGTCGGTCTGGCGTACGTTGGTCCACCGACGAGTATGAAAACATACTCGTATGTATGCGTCATGGATCAAATTGTCCATGGTAGGTATGCTATATTACATTGTTCACCGAGAGGAGAAAGTGACCGATTAACATCGATGGTGTTGTTTGATATCCGAGGCGCAGTCAAGGACCGTAATGCACCCAAGTTGGGAATAGCACTTTCTTTCGATGGATTTAAAGTGCTTTATACTATACCTGCGAAGAAATAAAGATAAATTCTTTAATTGAAATTCATATTAATAACTAGTTGACCTCGCGTACTTCGTACAGGTTAAAATAATTTGGAAGAAATGACGGACCCGAGTCTACCGTACTAAAAGGGACGAACGTCAAATGTTTGACTAGAATTCTTTCCAGTCAAACTACTGTAGAGATAGAACTGTTTATATGGGAAAATTAAATTGCCGTTTTTACTATCTTCCTAGCCATTTTTCCGTATTTTCTCACCTTTTAAACCTTCCCTAGACCTCCATGAACATTTCAAGACCAAGATGATAAATCCGTTCAGCCGTTCTCGAGTTTTAGCGAGACTAACGAACGGCAGTTGATTTATATATATAGATAATAATAATTTATTCAAGAAGAATAGATCACATCACATTCAAATAAAGAATTCTTTTAATTCTGGTAGTGGCAATAAATCTTCATTATCAGTAATAAACGCTGTCTTGATTAGACAGGAAAATAAATTAAAAACTCAGTTAAAATAAATTAATCAGCGCGCTTTGTGAGTGTTTGAAATATTTATTTTTTGTATTATTTATTTTATTCAAGCGTAGTTTCGCTTGCTGCTAACTTCACAACCTCCATTAAGACTGAATCCGTCATCCGTTGATGTGCAAGTCAGTGAAATTTTAGTTTCCTAAACATATTATTATACAGGCGTAGGCGATCCAGGCGGGATGTCGTATCAGTCTAGAAAAGACTCATTGGAGCCGATTGAGAAAACTAGGCAAATGCTGAGCAGTAATAGGTGAGTGCATTAATCTAGGTAACATAATATCCAACAACAGTCTTATCCTTACTGTGATCCAAAGAAATAATAAAGAATCGAGTGGGTTTCCTGATGGTAAGCATTCCATATCGTATTGAACTTTTACAACACCAGGAGTTTGGTATAATTGCCTCCTTTAAGCGCTTGTCCTAAATTTTGGGATTTTAGATTTGAACCAAAATGGAAACCTGAATATGTATCCTCTACTCGTACCTTAATGGAAACTACTTTTAGTTATCAGATAGGCAATAGGAACTCTTAATACCTTCATGCTCTAATGTTAGTACCAAACATTAGATAACTGAAATACACATACCGGCTAAATTCCAAAGCTCCTCCTTCTTGAAGTCGGATAAAAACAGCAAAACAGTACTCTTTGCAATAAAATAAGGTAAACTTTGCTATCATTCATAATAAATCACTATAATAATAAGAAGAAAGTAAGATTATGGTAACTTCCTGTTTAACATAGGCGGATGCAATAGTTATCACCGCCAGATTCTTATCGTGAGTAGCATAAATCAGATTAATCTTATTCCAAACACTTTGAGAGGGCCTGTAATTGTACGCTGATAATACCTGGGGACACGGTAGTGCCCCGCCAAGACGACAAAACGAGTCAAGCATTTCGCTACATTCACATGGGTGTAACTTCATTACTTTTCTGTTATACAATAGTTCTTGCAGTAACGAAACGGCGAAGCCACATGTTTTGACTAAGGCGTAGATTTCGTGAAGTCAGGCCTTATAGAGTTAGGGCGTGTTAAGTTAGAAGCTTGGCTCTACATGAGATCTGATAACTTTTTGGCAGTACGAGTCATGTGGTCTTGTCTTGCCATCATTTTACATGAAAATGTTTTATTATTGGGATCAGTTGTTCTTTATTATCAGAAAGGAGTATTTATCTAACCTTTCTGAGGAGTTAGGATTGGGTAGTTGTGTATAATGTTTTCCTACGCCTTGATCTTTAATATTGCTTACTCAATTAATAATTGAATTATTCCCATTCAGATTGGAGTCTCCAGACCGGTACCTCAGCACCTTGGAGCGAGAGACAAAACGGAACACGCAGATGAACAAATTCAGCGACTTCTCACGGGAATCCTTCAACAAGCACTTAGATCGGTTGGCGGACGACCGCGATTCAGACACATATACCAGTCGGGTACGTTACCTACTTTATAAAAAAATTAAAGTTAAGATTTAATTTTTATTTGCATGATTAGATGCTTTTTGAAATCTCTGAAAACCATAAAGATAAACAATTGAATTTGAAGAAGAAAATTTTCACTTCAATTAAATAATTCGAATTTAATGCTCATTTCTTACTACAAATAATATCATCTAGAACATTATTTATTTTTGCGTTACTTTGCATAATATTTGCTGAAAAGCATCATACTACTGGCCTATTCATAAGCTTAATGTTAAATTAAAGAGTATGAGAAGACTCGTACCTACAAACCATTTAATAGACTTTAATAAAATTTATAATATACTGTACTTGCCACCAAATGCAACTTCAGCTGGTTTAAACTGCGCGTGCAACTTTGAACCATATGACTTATAAGATAAATGCCTTCAGTATGCAGTACAACTCTCTCGTGTTATAATATTACAATAGATTCAAGAAACTTCGCAGCATAATACCTATCTCCGGTGTTTTGTTCCTCGGAAATCACAATATGTATTGTTTAGGTTTCCATTGAACATTGTTGTAAAGTTGGCCGAACCAGAATTTCAGACACACTGACTGATAATGTTACGCTGTATACATATATATTTTCGGTACTTACATATAAACAATTACAGAAAGAGCCAGTTCTTACGGTACTTAGTTTGCAAATAAAAAAAGCTTTTATTCTTATGGCATTCGTTTTGTTTCTTTTGATCCTCGTGGTATTATTATCTTTATTCTCAATTTGATTAGATTTTATTTGGTACTTTTGTTTGAATTGGACTAATATATAGCCTGCGTGGAATTACCGGTGCCCATTAGAAACTGATACCAAATTTATAAACTTTTAAAAGAGTCTTTCACAAAGGTTGACAATTCCGAATTAATAGAAATACGTGAGTTATAGTGATGCCGATATTGAATATGGAGAACAGGACCTTACCCACCACGCAGATGCGGGACAGCTGCAATCGCTAAATATAAAAAAGGCAAATATAACGAAACCAAAATCTTTAATCCACTCATTTGACTTGCATGTCTGACCAAACATATCTGCTTCTTGCACGCCGAAACTCGAATGATTTCATTAGGTTATTCCTTAGAGCGAGGAGCTCGATGGCGCAGGTGGTTAGCGCGTTCGGCTGCCATCCTTGAAGTTAAGGAACTATCGCAGTGGTCGGTCATTGGATTGGTGACCAAAAATCTTCTATTTCCAGGTCCTCCGTGCTTCGGAAGACACGTTAAGCCGTTGATCCCGGATCTGCAGTCGTTAACACCCGCCAATCCGCACTGGGCCCGCGTGGCGGGTCATGGCTCAATCTCCCTATTCCATCCATAGGGAAGGCCTGTGCCCCTGCAGTGGGGATATTAACAGGCTGGTGGTGAATTCCTTAGAGCATATATGCTCTAAGGGTTATTCCAATCCCAACTGAGTTAGTCTTTGGATAATTAGCTAATCTACTACCCCAATAAGCTATTGAACTTTTTATGTATTTGTTTTATTATGATTGTAAAATCGTTAATTTTATTGAACTAAAATTACATAGATAACCACATAGTTCGACTGTTAAATTGTATAAAACAGGGAGGGTTTCGAATATGTTGGTAATTAAGTATCTTGATTAACTCGTCCTCTTTTTGGCATGATTCTCTAAACATAAAACTAAATGCGACAACAGTACATTCATATCATGCTTTATACAGAATGAAAACGAGAAGCTAATGTCAAAGTTAGTTTTAAATTAAGAGCCCTTTTACAAAATTGCACCGCTGCCGTACTAAGTAATCGGCGCTTGGGTAGATTTGCACTAGTATATATTTCATTTTACGGGTGATGTTTAGAGTCTTATAAAATAATTTTTATGAACTAATTATAAAAATATATACATATATTCCAGTAGTTCAATGATGGTAGATTAGTTTTATGAAAGTTTTTGTGAGTAATTCTATTTAATTCAATATCAAAATACAAGGTAAACCTGCATATTTTTTTGAGAAAACTCACGGAGGTTAGATTTCTTTTTTGTTAATTAATGACATAGAAAATCACAACTCTAATAAATTAAGTTACAACAAAAACATATGTCTGATGTCGTAGTAATTAATTTGATCTAATTTATTGAACACTATTGAGAAATTCAGGCGTTTGAAGTTGTGCATATTATGAAGTTTTATCTGTAAACTAGCTGCAGTAGAACGATCAGTACAAAGATAGGAAAATAGTATTTGCAAATATTCTACATTAACTTATAAAAAGAAAAATAATTTTACTGTTAATTTCTATTGGAAATAGTCAAAATCTTTTCTTTGGGGGTAAATAAGGCGCTCAAAAATTAAGATTTTTTGCAAAAAATGTGAAAGGGCTCTTAAGACAATATTACAGAGGACCACAGTAAAATAACACTACCTTTTGGGGGTGTTGTTATTCTGTCGGTGTGTAAGATTCCAGGGATTAGGGTAGGGGATTGGGTCAGGGTCGGCAACGGCGCGGCGCGAGTGATATTTTTTATATCGCTATGGTGGCCGCTTACCATTAGGCGGGCCAAATGATTGTTTTTGCCCTTTTAACTTTAAAAAATCATATCTTTCAGTGATCCAAGAAAATCATTGATAAAGTAATATTTAGATTACTTTTGCTGTGTATTCAATGATTCCGAGTAGCACTTAATTATTTTCTGCTTTTTTGAAATGATTTTGTTACTAGTGGCGCCCACGACAAGTATATCCGCAAATATAAATAGTTGTAATCTGTTTTTAAGTCGTTTGAAAATTTACGTAGACGTTATTATTTTAACAGAGTGTTGGCTACAGAGTGCCCCTCCCATTCCCAACATTAGTGGCTTTTACTCTTTTACTTCATCTAGACCTATCAACCAAAATGATGGCGTTGTCGTCTATTGTAGCACTTCTCTAGCCAGGGTCTCAGTCACTGAACCCACTATCTCGGAAGCCAGTTGTTTACAAATTGAAATTAATAAGGACACAGTTATGCTAGCTATTTACCGACCCTGTGCTTTTAAAAATCCAAATAATTTTATTCAGTCATTGCACAGCATCCTTGTTTCGCTGCGTAAGTATAGTAATATATTAGTGACGGGCGACATTAATCTTAATATACTGAGTACTGATGATATGAGCATAGTGAATATTATTTAAACATTATGGCTTATAATGGCCTCTTACCCGCTCATACTCTGCCAACTCGGGCACGAACATGTCTCGATCATGTATTTTTGAAAATACTACTTCAGGCCCAAACATTTGTAATTGACTCTATGGTAACTGATCATGACGCAGTGCTTACTTCAATAAATATGAAGAAAGCTTAACCGACACTCAAAATCATTAAAAAGCTCAATTTTGATTCTCTAGCTACAGCTATTGAAAATGTGGATTTCTCTTTGGTACTATGTTATTCTGACCCTAATATTGCTACTAATATATTAATTAAAATGCTCCAATTCGCCATATCTTCACACACCACAAGACATTTAATAAGGACATTCTTAAAATCACTTTTCGTCGATATCGTAACTTTTGTAATTCTCTCATCAAAAAAGTAAAATTGGACTATGATAGAGAGATGTTGCGTTTGGCTGGTAAGAAAAATAAGAAGCTCTGGGATGCGATTCGAGATGTTGCTAACATGAACAAAAACCGTAGTAATGCAGATGACTTATTACTAACTAAATCCTCACCAGACCAATCAGTTAATCATGCGAATGCTTTCTTTGCTAGCGTGGGTAAAACTCTTGCTGAAAAGATTGCGGTTAACTCTCCCAACGTTGTACCAAATCAGAGATCGGCTGCTCTCCCTTGAAACCACTACTGATGAGGTCGATAGTATCATCAATTCACTAAAAAGTGAATGTGCGGTTGGGTGGGATGATATCTCATCTTCATTTATTAAGCGTTTCAAGAATACCCTTGTTCCGATGATAACTCACATATGTAACCAATCTATCAGGACTAGCATCTTTCCTACTGCATTCAAAAAAGCACTTGTTCATCCAATGTACAAGTCTGGCCCTAAAAACTGCTCTTATAACTATTGTCCTATATCAATTCTCCCAGCAATGTCTAAAATCTTGGAGCGGCTCTTAAATAAGAGTTTAATGCATTATCTTGAAAATTCAGCTCTGTTATCGTCAAGACAATATGGTTTTAGGGCTAAAAAATCTGCCGCTGATGCTGTCCATGACCTCATGGACTATACAGTTAGAACTCTTGACAAGGGAGGTAAGTGTTTGTCTGTTTTCCTTGATCTTGCCAAGGCGTTCGACACGGTCTCAATTCCAATTCTATTACACAAACTTCAGCGCCTTGGAGTGAGGGGAAAACAGTTGACATTGTTTCACAGCTATCTTACTGATCGCACGCAGCGTCTCGTGATAAATGGAGTTGTGAGCTCGGATTTGCGCACCGAGTATGGTATGCCACAGGGCAGTATACTGGGTCCAACTCTATTCTTAGTCTATATTAATGAGCTGTCATCTCTCGTAATTCCCCATTGCAAAATTATTTCCTACGCAGATGACACTGCCTTGATTTTTTCCGCGGATTCCTTCCCAGAAGTTTATAGACGTGCTCAGTATGGTTTGGATAGAGTCTTTGATTGGCTTAGAGCAAACCTCCTGTCACTTAACATCAAAAAAACGAAATATATGCCTAGGTATGTCTAAGGTCAGGATCCCTCAAGAAGCTCTTCAAAATTTATCTCTTGTGGCACACACCCATCACTCAGACGATTACTCGTCAAATTGTTTATGTCCCCACTTAAGTCAAGCTTCTTCGGTTAAATATCTTGGAGTTATGGTCGATGCTAGACTAACTTTTCAGCCCCACATAGATTTAACAGCTGCAAGGATTCGAAAGCTCATGCATATTTTTAAAAACATTCGGCATGTAGCAGATTCTAACCTTGTCAAAAACATCTACAAGGCACTCTGTGAATCCATTCTGACCTACTATCTTATTGACTCTTGAAAGAGCTCAAAGGGCAGTTTTAAAAGTTTGTACTCTTAAGCCAATTCTACACCCCACGTATGATCTATATCAGTACTGCGAGGTCCTGACTGTTCGCCAATTATTTGTAATGCATACTATTCTAAAACAACATTCTTATACCGATCCCAGGCTAATATCACGTCGAAATCGTCCTGTGGTTCCATGCTCATAGCGCAAGTCTGCCTTTGCTAAGCGTTTCTTCTATTTTCTCGGTCCACATTTATATAACTTACTACACAAAAAAATTAACATATTGCAATTAACCAAATACAAATGTAAAAGAGAAATATTTGGTTTTTTATATATGTTAAAATATAACGAGACTGAAGATCTTCTGCATCCTTGCACATGACACACTTTACCACACACACACACATACACACACAGACACACACACACACACACACGCACGCACACACCCCCACACACCCACACACATACTCTCAGCAACGCGACGCCAGAAACTACTCATTTATTACAATTACCTAAACATTATATTTAAAAATTACAATTACCTAAACATTATATTTTAACCTACCTATTACATTAAATCATTACATTCTGATGTTATAGTTCTCTTCAACATTGTTAAGATACAGTTATTTTATTTTTCCAGTACATGTAATTTTGTTATTATGTACCACTGTAAAGGGGGGAGAGTACTGGTCTTCTGAGATACAGGCTGCGGCCTAGTTCAAATACCAGTCTCTCCACAATCTTGTCACTAAGACATTAATTAATTCATTAAGTTTATATTTTTTTGTGAATGGGATTGTGAGGAGAAGAAATAAAGCATTATTATTATTATATTATTATTATTAATGTAACCCCTACCCTATAAACATTGTGTCGATATAAAATGTCGAAAAAGGACGTCACTGGCTCTCCAGCCACTGACGGCCGAAACCCCACAACCTTAAAAAATTGACATGTCTTTCTGCCATTAGGAAATCAAGGACGAGTATATGTTGTCGATTGTAATTTTATCGATCCATCTATGAATATAAATCATCTGAAGCACTAACCTTTCGAGAAATTTTGACAGAACCTTTTATTATCTCGTGTAGATCAAACACTAAACAACACAAAACATTTGCGTCAATTACCCTATGATCATTGAACAAGTTTCTTGACTTCCAAACTTCTTTAGTATAAAATAGGTAGTAAAACCAATTTAATTTAAAAAAAAATCACATCTCCCGCTACTAAATAGTGACTATAAAATCTCAAATACTTGCAAAGTTGAGCAGTTATTTAACGGGCAGCTATAAAAAGATGCGAGTTCACCTGCAAAGTTGCAAAAGTAGGAAAAATGCAATTCTTATGAACATTTGCAACACTTTAGGTAATTTTTTAGCATACAGTTATTAGAAAACTGGTGAAAATCTTCTTTAAAAAAAGACTAAGTTTTATGAATGAACATAATCGTACTTGTAAAAAAGCCCCTTTAGTTGTAATGTTACTTAAAAGCATTTACTTGCTAGATTTATAAATGTAAATGAAATTTTACTAGAAAAAAAAACACTCGGTCTAGGATTAAAGACAGGACTCAATTATTATATTAATGAGTCGAATTTCTTCTAGTATTTCTTAGACTGCAAGGCAGCGCCATCTCTACACAGGGATTAAGATGCTTAACTCTCACAGCCGGAACTAAAGTGCTTTGATCACTATGTACGCGGGATAATCGCCAAAATTAAATACATAGCTTAATACTTTCATTTGTTTTTAGCAAGAGTTCAGCAAACGTGAGGTGCACGAGAAATCTTACGTGGTGCGCGACTCCTCATACAGCAGCGTGGAGGAGAAGCAGCAACAACAACATCAGCAGCCTTTTTTATCCAATAGGCCCCCCCGCGACCCTACCGGGGGGGCCCGCTCTGAGACGGACGCTGCACACGCCCGTTTCAGGTTTGTATGACTTAGATCTATTGTAATGTCCGAAGCTCCTGGCATCGTGCGAGGAAACCACAGACACAGAGAACCACTTTCAACTGTAAAATCAAAACTGGGAAAACAAGTGCGAAAGAGATTTAGGCCCGTATTACAGAATGACATCTAAGTGTTGATCTTTACTTGAGTACAGTTAGAAAGGGGTATCGCTATGTGCTATATATAGCGACATCCCTTTCTAACTGTGCTCAAGACTAGATCAATCACCGAGAATCTTTCTATAATTCGGGCCTTAGACTCCTCATACAGCAGCGTGGAGCAGGGTACAGATAATTAGCTGTACCGTGGCCGAAGGCTTTCGATAAGCTGCACCATTCTTTTTTCAGTTTCTGGGGTATTGCCAAGTTCGTATTTTAATCCATTATTTATGTCTTATAAAACACCCATATTGATAACCCATAGAACAATCGGGCATTGCGTAAGGTAACTTGATTTCCACAATCGCAGACCGAAAGCGCTAACCATTGCACTACAGAAAGTGGTTCACTAAATTAATATAAAATAATCTCCTTATGAATTTTAAAAATAAAATGCTCTGCTTTGGCGGTTATTTATAACATGGATCGTAATCTCAAAGTCATTCTCTTTCACACCGAAGTGTCCCTTTGTATATACGTGAAACGAAATTGAATGCAACGACAAAAATGAAATAACTTCGCGTGTTCCTGCGAAAATATGAATCTGTTGAACAAAGTAGACATTTTCACGACGACGACGTTGTAGATTTTGCACTATTGGAAGTGCTTTTATTGTATATAATATGTTTCATCTGGTTTTATCCATAATCGCAATATGTACCTACATCATATACATAGATACTTATGTACTTCTAAGAAATATTTCCAACACTGTATGAATAGAACTTTGTTGGTAACTTAATGTGGAAATTTTTCTCTCTGAAACACGCCAGTGCAGTTCCAATAGAGACAGATTCCAATTTGATATTTCTACAAATCAAGTGTCCTATATAGAAATTTTCGCCGCGGAAAAGAATCATGAAGGATTTGCGGTTCTCTTATTTCAAAACTTGATTCTATGTATTCTTTATTTAAGATAAATATCATCATTGTAAATAACGTATTTAAAGAGACTTATAAAAATTTCAATATGTACTTACATAAAAAGACACAGTAAAACTCTTGAATTGATAAAAGGCTTAAAAGACGTCAGTGAAGTTGATGCTGTTTTTTGTTATAGAAAAAAATTAAACAATAAACAGCTATCATCTAACAGTTTAACACTTCCACGCAGTTTTTTTTTCTAGTACACTTTTCTTTAGATTTAAACATGTAGGAGTTAAATGCATAAAATAAAAATATAATATACACTTCTTTGAAAGTAAAAATTTCATTTTAGTTCTCCACAAGAAGTTTAATTTGTTAAACTGTAAACTATAATATTTTCTCAATAATATAATAAGTTTACCCAATACACGAGAGCAATGCAAATGAAGGTAGATACACGTTATTAACGAAATGTTATTTGTTACAGACCAATTCAATGGGATAATAACAGAGGCGCCAGAGGAGTAATCGTAAAACCAACTATGAGAGGTGTCGTGGGACAACCTGTTGAGTTCATAGGTGAGTCACGAGAGACCTATTCTAATAGCCATAGTATAGTTACTAACTAATTACATATATACTATGTTACAATTTCGTGCACAGTTATCATCATATCAAATCATCTATTAAGTTATGTAATTATCTCGAACATACACACATCAAAAGTGTCTAGGGATCAAGCATTTTTATGCGGATTTCTTGAGATTGAGATGTGGCTTTGTAATAAATTTATGATTTTATAAATTTATATGGATCCTTTTTGGTGCATTTCATAATTTGAATCAGGAACTGTGAATCAAATTCGAGTAAAAGATGAAAATCAGCTGTCAATATTTTCCCTATAAAAACATACAACGCATTGAAGACATTATTAGTGCTACTGTTTCCCTACTACTGATTAAAACCAACGTTATTATGGAGCGGCGACGTCATTTAAGCAGGGAAGAAATGCTCAGAGCCGTGGGAATGATAGAAGCTGGTTCCCGGCAACGTACTGTGGCTTTAGCTCTGAATACAAGTCAGAGTGTTATCAGTCGACTTTGGACACGATACCGAAGCACTGGTACCGTGGCTGAGCGCCATGGAGGACGGTATCGCTGCACCACACGGAGACAAGACCGATACATTCAAATCTTAACTCGAAGAGCTCCAACAATAACCGCCATGATGTTAGCCGTGAGGCTTCATCACTCTTCAGGGAACTTAATTAGCGACCAAACAGTCAGAAACCGCTTGCATGAAGTGAACCTTCATTCCCGAAGACCGCTACGGGTACCACCTATAGCAATGCACAATCGTAGGATTCGATATCAATGGGCTCTTGAACACAGAAATTGGGCAGAAGAACAATGGCGTTTCGTGTGCTTTTCTGATGAGTCTCGTTTTGGTATGAGACCGGATACAAGACGTATACGACACTGGAGAACCCCTGGACGCCAACAGCGATTAAAATCCTGCCAGGAAGTCCATCCTTATAGTGGTGGAACCATCATGGTATGGGCGGGTATTTGGATCGGCGGAAGAACTGAGTTGATTTGGATCAGAGGCAACCTCAACGCTCAAATTTATGCTGAGACGATTGTATCAGACGTCATCGTTCCTCTACAAGTGCAAATCGGTCCCTTATTTCAGTTAATGCATGATAATGCACGACCGCACACCGCAAGAGTTGTAAGACAGACTCTCGCCGCAGCTAACATCAATGTCCTGCCCTGGCCTGCTCAGTCGCCAGACTTGAACCCGATTGAGCATGCATGGGATATGCTACAGAGAAGAGCTCTGCCGAATATGGAGGGTATCCAGTCGCAAGAAGACCTTTTTTTGTTGTTGCTACGAACATGGGCGGCCATTCCACAGCGTGATTTGGATGAACTCATTTTGAGTATGCCAAACCGATGTTCTTGTGTTGTTAGTGTTCGCGGTAGAAATACGGATTATTAATTGTTTAAGTTACCCAATAAAATTTTAGAGAAAACTGTTATTTCAGTCTTTTTTTCGAACTTTTGTGTTAGTGGTTCAAATGTCAAAAATCCCTTTATTAGGAAAATGGCAAATTTCTTTATTAATGCAAAGGTGACTTGGTTTATCGTTACTGTGACAAACGAAAACACTTTATTTGATGAATCCTTAAAGAAAATTTTAATTAATATCAATCAGGAGAAAAGTTATTGCAAAAATATATGTTGATCCCTAGACACTTTTGATGTGTGTACATACTTATAGAAAGATGCTACTAGATTTCATATCTTAGGGATTCCGCTACCTTAACCAGGAGTACGGAGCGGACGTCCGCTCCGCGTGCTGTTTCAGCATTTCATAGAGCAGCGCTGCGTGAGGCGGGTCTTCCGCTGCAGGCGATGGGGCACACCCAGTTGGCTGTTTTCTTTGCTCTTGTATGCGTTGATTTTTTGCTAGGCAGTATTATCAACAACAATCGCGCTATCGAAATTGTACTAGCGGCGCTGCGAGAGGCGGATATCCGTCGCGGCTGCGTCCGGTCCGTGCTCCCGCTTAAGGCAGCGGACGCCCTTAACTTATAAAAAATAATCCCTATTTCCCTTAGTCACGCTATAACTTGAGAACGACGTTACCGATTTCATCCATATTTTTTTAGTTTTCTCATACTTTGTAGAAGGTACATTCTTACGGAAAATAAGAAAGTTACGCGAAGCTGAAGTTAACGGGGATGAACTCGTGGGTGGATCTAATACTAAATATTGCCCCGGTCATTTGGATAACAATTATAATAAAAATAAATTCATTATTAACTGTTGCATTACTTTAAAAGAAGTTTTACGGTATTATTATTACTTATTCGTTCTTCTATCATCTTTCTCCTACCATAGTGGACTGTAGTACAGCTGGCCCGGGACACTTAGAAATAGAAGTATCAGGAGGGAACGGAGCGCTGGTGGCCAGCTCTGTGCGACCGCTCGGCGGGTTCCGATACGCCGCGTCCTTCACCCCTAGATTGCTTCGACCGCACGCCGTGCGAGTCACTTTCAACGACAACCATGTTCCGGGTAAGTCTAAATAATATAAAATAATGTTCTATCTCTATAGAGAACTATAGAGCAGCTGATTCGGGACAGTTAGAGCTAGAAGTGTCAGGAGGGACTGGAGCGCTGGAAGCCAACTCGATGCGACCGTCGGCGGGTTCCGATACGCCGGGTAAGGGCGCGGCATGAAGGCATGCCGAGACTCACTTTCTCACTACACGCATGTTTCAGGTAAGCCTAAAATAATGAAACTGGCTGAATGAACTGATTTATCAATTAAATAATAATAAGCATAAACCATAAACAGCTGGATCTACAAGCATAAATTTTTAATAAAGGTGTTCTTATAACGTATGAAACGCACAGAGGAAGTAAATTTATCTCCTAGAGGGTTTTAAAGTAAAGTATATGCACGTGAGTCCTTTCTAGAGTGAGAAGCAATAATCTTATTACTTATTTGTTTCTATTAACTTCATATCTATGCTGACACAAGTTAATAGAAACAAATGAGTAATAAGCCAATTATGACATTTTATTATGTATGAAATAGCCAATCAATATATTTGTATATTATCTAGTTGGAGACATATGAAATAATATCAAAAATCATGAAGATTCGGCAATAACAAATCACTTAAGTAACTGGAATAAAGTATGTGGTATTTTCTGGGAGCAGCCAATCCCTAGCGGCATTATCCAGCTTGCTTCGAAGTCCTGATAGTGATTACCGTGAAGACGGATATATGATACTTTAGGTATCCACGGATGATATCTGTAGGATTTATCAAGTGCGAAGTGTTCTTGCTGTAGTTGAATCAATATCATTTTATCTAAGTCGCATCGACAATCGACATGGTAAAACAAATAACAAAGCGAGATTCAAAGGGACACGCTTTTTCGATAAAATGTAAAGGTGATACCTGCACAGAAATACTTTAGGTATCCGCGAATAATATCCGTCGGTTATATTCAACTTAAATGGTTTATAAATAACAACAAAGATCGATTTTACCAATAATCTTTTAGTTTGTTTAGATAATGTTACCTTCTAACTTAAATATAAAAAATATACATTTCAATGCGTTCACATTGCCTTCTGCTCTTAGTTGAGGCTGCTATTTGATTTTTGTTGCATTCAGGGGCACTATCAAAAATGAAAAAATAGATAAAATATACAAACTCATTAAATATTTAATTAATACATAGTTGTTTTTATCGATAAATATGTAAGTTTCGAATTTAGCAACCATTCGTAATTGATAAATATTAATATTTGTTACCACTCACATTTCTTACTACGGCCAACGATGTCATTTATAAATAGTTAATAAATATATATAGTATTTAAATTGTGTAGTAAGTAATTCATATTTCAAGTACCAAATTATATTATATCGATATACATACCTCATTGATATCTTCTTATTTATCTCTTATCTATTAGACAAGTCCGTCCGTCCGTCCTGTTGTGCTGTTTCAGCGGCCAAACCGTAAGAGATAGATAAAGAAAATGTTTAAGTTATAAGTTAAGAATAGTCTGATAAGACTACAAACCGGATTTGAGTAACGTAGCTCTTCCAGTTTTCGAGAAATCACGAATTTCAAACGAAACCACACAAAATCTCCGAAGTTCTCAATTAATTAAATACATTTTTTTTTTAAATCAGGTTTTGGTGAACATTTGGTTCACTGGTTTGCTAGTTTATTTATATACGAGCGGCCGGTCGTCGTTCATTGTTTTGTAAATGCACAGTCGTAGCAACATTTGCATTACAATAACTCACATTTTGGTATAAAAACCATATCTGAACCGCTGTTTTGCTGATATGTACATCCCTAGAGTCTACATATTGTATGTGGAACCGAGAACAAAGAGAATAGCTCGCGCCTGACGGGAATGCTCCAGCATCTAAAAACATATCAACGATGGGTTCTTATTCATACATACGTAAACACATATGACAACGCCCCGTATGAATTGTAAGGCTTTCCTGGGGCATCTTTGAGAATGCGACCGTTTTTTTAATAAACAAGTGCGCTCGGTACTGCGGTACGTCTGTATTTCAAAGGCTTTATGTGGCTCTCGAAATTAACGTTAAATGCACCAGGGTATATCCCACGACGTGAATGGATATGCATACCGTTTAATTAATAAACAAAGGGAGCTTTTCTTATATATGTATGTAGGATAAGCGGGTGATGTTAATGTAGTTGATCATTACCTTATTAAAGATAGACATGCGTTCAACACCAGTTTAAGAAACAATGACATACAACTTTATTATACGTGATTGCATACAACATTTGCCTAAACAAGGTTTGAAACCGTGTCTTACCGTGACCTGAAGTGGATCTTGGCCTCCAACAAGTCTAGTGCCCACTGGATCCTCAAGATTCGACCCGAAAGCAAAAAGTGCCTATATATAGATATCGATTTCTTGTTGTCTTGTGTGTGTCAGTAATTGTTCATTTGAGATATATATATCTTTATATATATAATTCTTCTGTGAGTGCGTATGTCACTGAACTTCTCTTAAACGACTGGACCGATTTTGATGAAATTTTTTGTGTGTGTTCAAGGGGATCTGAGAATGGTTTAGATTCACAATTTTGTCCGCTGGACAATGTTTTTTTAATTAATTTTTTTTTATGGCGGTACGAAGTTCGCTGGGTCAGTTAGTATATATATATATATATATATACATTTTTTGAGTGTGTATGCTGTTGGTCGCCGATGACCTTTACAGCGTCACCGGGTTTGGGGAGAGCGAGATCCTAAGGGGACCTCAAGCCGAGAGTTGGCGACCGAGATATTTTAATGTCGCGACACCTTATATGACGCAGCTCCTACGCGAAGTTCTTCTCGCAGTACTCTGTTGTCCCTTTATCTTACTTATTTTGAGAAAAACTTTGGCTGCTTCCTCCTCCAACATTTCTGCTGCAACCCGTATCTGCGCCTGTTTCTCACTCAGCAAAAGCAGATTGTCTGCCTACCCAATCACTCTATGCTGTCCATTCAACCGTAGTCCGCCATTAGTCAGCGAAACTTTACGGGCTTTAAACTCTAAAACTAAATTTAATAACATTGATTGAGTAACAAACTTTTACATTTCTAATATTAGTAGGATTAGTAGGATGTACACATTCATTTATAATTCAGCCACCTGAAAAAAAGCCTTTCTCTTTATAGGCACTAAGCTTACAGATGCTACTACGTTTAGTTATATATGTGTACGTTTAAATCACTTACTAATTTCGACCTTTAGCACACTAATCTTCCAGCTAGGCCGACGCGGCGTAATCGGCTTAGTTAATTGAATTGACGTCCGATGTAAATTAAACGTTTGCAGAGATCGAATTAGCGGAAAAACTAAACAGGAAAATTCTTTTCTGTTAGGTAATTTATTTAAACGAATTTTTCTTTATAATGTTATGAGATTAAATATTTAGATAGGATTGTAAATGATGATAGATTAAGATTTTGTGCCTTCTAAGGATTTCCAAAACTTTATTTGATTACATTTATGTGTCAATTCCTTTGTACATATAACATATTTGAAGTTATATAATGACTGCACTGACCAATCCCGTCTGAAACATGACCGATATGATTTTGTTCTAGTAATATTTTCTGTACATTTAAACATTATAGCAGTTAAATTCTTAAAATAATATAAAAATCAATATTCTCCAACCTACATTTCAAATTCTTAGTTAGGTTTAAAGAAAGATTTCATTCACTTTGACTGAGGTACTCAGCCAACTGGTTTGAAAACCATTCGTAATAAAACATTTACCCATGTATATATTTTTTATTCGTTTCGAACTCTTCTAGTTGAAAGAGTTCATTTTACTAACGTAAAGTGAACATTTCAGAATATCCTGTAAAACCCGAATCGCATTCCACCAATTGTATTCCACATACAAAGTTACATCCATATAAATAAACATGAGTTCTTTCCACCGTTCATTGTATTACATATTATGGTACCTACTGTTGCATTGTTGTATATGGCATCCATCTATGCCCCATTTTCTTTTGTTAAATGGTCGTATCTTGTAGAAAGTCGTCCGTCACGGGGCGTGTAATTTGGTGTACAATCGTACTTGCATTTACCTAACCTACTGCAAGAAAGCGAGGATGGTCAACATGTTCGTTCAGATTACACAATGTCACTGAGAAAATCACCCTAAATGCAACTTCATAAAACCGATTTTTAATTAAAATCTGTATTCTTGAACATGGCTACGTCTGTACGAACGCAATAGTGTAAAAGTGTCACCTCACCATTACAACGTTTTTCTAATTACGAACTTTCGTTGACCACTAATGTGCGCTTACAGAAGGAACGATTAACTTTTTTACGACCCCTCATTAACATGCTGGGCTAGGAGTCAAAGAAAAACATAAAAGGCGACAGTTGCTTATTTTTCTGGTTAAGTATAGTACTTTCCCTTGTCAACAAGCAGGGTAATTTCGAATACTATTCTAGGTGATGCCTGACACCAAAACCTCTGTTAATTATCTTGATCTTCTTTTCTGGATTACCTTCGTACGGACAGAGGAATTAAAAAAACAACCTCGTCAGACTTGGGCATCGTTGCCTTTATGAAGTACGCGTATCAATGTAAAAGAAAGACTTTACTTATTTATTAAAAAGCGGCCAAGTGCGAGTCGGACTCGCCCATGAAGGGTTCCGTAGTAGCAAGAAACATAATATAAAAAATCTTGTTAGGGTTATAAAATAATGGTCCACGCTTTATGTTCATGTTTTTTTATATATTTGACTTGATTGAATGAAAGGTAAATTGCGGTTTATGATTTATTAAAAAAAACGATTAACTAGATCTCGTTCAAACCAATTTTCGGTGGAAGTTTGCATTGTAATGTACATCATATTTTTTTTTTAGTTTTAGTTACACACATTTTACTACTTTGGAAGTCTCTCGCGATGACTGAATAGTTTTCAGTTCAGAAAAAAATGATATTCTAATATCATTTTTGAAGACATATCCATAGATACACCACATGTATGAGTTTGATTAAAAAAAATTTTCTAGTTTCAATTCTAAGTATGGGGAATCCCCAAAATTTATTGTTTTTTTTCTATTTTTGTGTGAAAATCTTAATGCGGTTCACAGAATACATCTACTTACCAAGTTTCAACGGTATATATAGATTTTATAGT